TTTATAGAAATTGTACTTCAGTTGCACTCCTATAAATGTCTTCTGCCCATTGGATTAGGTGGGTGAAATTTAACCTCAATTTGAATAACCTAATTTCCTGGAATTCGTAATCGCCTATGATGCACGAAATAGAGTAACAGTTACTAATCAGTCAATATATTAATTGGCAACAATTATCTTCACAATTAAACTGGTGTAATCTTTCACATTTATATACAAGTTAAATATAACTATAACTATATAACTACAAAAAGCAATTAATCATCTGCAGAACAAAATCGGTTTGATAGGCATAAACAGTTCAAAATACAAAAACACTTTTTGAGGGCTAGTGGAGGATTTTCATCCTTGATCAACATCAACCAAACAAAGGTTGAAAGGTGGAATCAGTGGTCAGCTGACTAGACCTAATTTTCGACTTGTCAGTAATTCGTATCTACGGTCTGTGAGGATTGCAATGCAGAAGCTGAGATCTGGTGCGTTCTTTATGACAACCTAAGTCCCTTTGTTCCACTCTTAACGGGGTCCTTAGGACTCACCGCTGTGGAGTTCTAAAATAGAATCAGATAGCCACTAAGTTCTCCCACGCTAACCATCAATACAATCCGATTAGTGATAAAATTAACAGACAGTATAAATGACGAATATACTTTTCAATTTTAATTGTTTGAAATGGTGAAACTAATATAATGATATAAGTTCATTTCATTTTGAGCATTCTTATCAAACGCTTACAAACTGTAGTGAAGTGAACGCTAAAAGTGGTATCTGAAGCTTATTGTTCAGATGATCAGAAGCATGTATCAAGTTACTTATTAACGTACTATAGTTTTCATCTACACCCTTTACGCTTGAGAGATTTTATAAAGATGCGACGAAAGAAATTCACTGAACAAATGTGTTCTCTCATTTCATGCCTTTGCCTTAGCTTCAAGGAGTTTAGAAACGATGAATGACTGTTATAAAGTAAAAAAGTGAACATCCTTTAGTTTTTGTAGGAATTTTGTAAGATAAGAATCATGTAAGGTAAGAGAACAGGTGAAGATCAAAATGAAAAAAATAATCATCGAAGAAATCAGTGAAACACAGCATAAATGTGTATAGAACAGTCTTAAGTAAATTAAAATAGAAAAGAATAATAGATAACATAACAAGATAACGCAGTGGAGCATGCGGAAGCAGGAAAAATGCTGAATGATATACCACGTGAGACAGGCAAACGAGTAAGCTTCGATAACGCTATTAGAAGAAGAAGATTATCTGAAAAATGTGATGTATTTGCGCAATACATTTCGAACAGTCTGATCACGCACTTACTTGTCAAGTCAATTTATATATGAAAATGAACGGAAAAATGAAAGGTCATATATAATGAATATGGACAGATTGTGACACTAGTCTTGGTAATATAATCAGATAAGGATTACCAAGGTAAATTAAGTGAAACAACAGATTGTTTTTGTACGCACAACTGGGGATTAAGTCTGTGAATGGCTAACGCTTCGGCAAACTTCAGCATGAGCCCCTGGTTATTCCTATATAATATATCTTGAAGGCTGTTTTCGTATTAACCTTGTGATTCATTTCAATGATATGTTTTGCTATAGATGAAGATGGATTTCTGTCACCTGCACTTATCAATGTTTGTGTGTTAAATTGCTTTTCAAGCCATTTAGGTATATTTTCACCTACTTATCAAAGCATCCTCCCATCGACTAGGTAATATGTTTGGAAAGGAGAGCTGATCATTCCTCTCTCCTTCACAGTACAGCTAAGAGACTTTTGATATTAGCCTTCTGCAACATGTACACCCTACCATCTGGTTTGTTGCACACGAAATACACGACATTGGCGCACCTCAGCTCCTTTTCACTCCTCATTTCAGTTTTACCACTAGCTTAATAACTTAACCGCACCATACTGTTGAAAAATAGACTATTACATATTTGTGATAAACATAAATGCGGTTGTATAGCTTTAGAAGATGGAATCGTTGGAAAAGAAAATTTTCCTTCTGAATTATCTCTTCTTTCCACTTTACTCATTACACATTACATTACATGGTTACTTCTTATGGTCAAAATTATTAGGATTGTCACTGGTATTGTGTCTGTCTCAGTGCTGGACCTAAGTCGGCATTGACCTACCAAGGCATATATATATATATATATATATATATATATATATATATATGCTCACACACAGGATGGTCGGACAATAGCCAGCATCAAGCTCTGGTTAAATATTTAACCAAACTGAATCGGCTGACGTCTGTGTAAAGCTGATCAGTGTAGGTGGGAGTGATTTCTTTTACAACCCCACCACTTAAAGAAATATGTGTGAAGTAATCATTACTAAGCATATTATGTTTATTGTAGTAAATCATACAATAACACTGGAATAAGTATGAGTGGTCTCAATTAGAAATCTGAAAATTATAAATTAGGCCGAAAATGTTCAGTGAAAATATTGTGGATGATTTCTGTTACTTAGGTCAGTTATAACTGTTCAATTTTTTAGCATTTTTATGCTGAAGTGTATGCAACTATCAGAGCCTACGTAAACGATGTCTGCCAAAAGAATTCCACAGAACCATCACTGTTCAAAAAAGTCACATATTTTTTGTAGTAGATGACTTTTCTAATTTCCAACCTGTTAAAGACTCACCTGTTACGTTATCAGTTTGTCGACTTATAGTAGGTGACTCTGCATTTGGATTAGACGATAATACTGGCAAATTTTTGAGTTGACTAAATATGGAGAACTGGAATATGCCTGGCATCCAATTTACTCCTTTCAGATTTAATTTGATTCCACTGTCCTGGTATTTCTTGACACGTAGTTAAGTCATGGAAATAAATTGTCAATGTCTTTTGATTTGTGTGAAATGTATCCATAATGATTTGAAGAAAGAAAAAGTACTTCAAGAACAGGTATTTCTTTTGACTTTACTAATTTCAGAAAACATATCTACCTTAATGGAATGTTCTCAGATAAAGTTACAGCAGAGGAAGCAGTGATTTGACTGTTAGACATGGATGCTAAAGTTGAACGGCACAAACATCAGTGCTATTTAATCATAATTGTATTTAAAATATACCTTCAGCATGGTGAAAGCTCAAACTGAATGATATTTATGTTTGACAAACAGTTCTAAAAAACATTCAGTAGACCAATAAGATTACGATGACGTACTAGGATGTTGAGTCACACTCCACGGAAACATTCACTCATGAATGGCCAGGATCGACTTTGAATTATTGTGAAAAAAATACAACAGTAATCCCTGAAGTCACTAACTTCTATATCGATACATCTAAAACAGCATAAACCATACGTCCAAGGTTATTATGACACACGGAAACAAACTGTGTAGACTGTAGGCTACTTGTCAGAAGCATATCAGAATGACGCACATATTTGATTTTTTCATTTCCCCTGTAATTCAGCAAACCATATTTGTTTGCCTTTTCCCAAGGATTTTGATTTTCATCCCGTTTCAGTGCACGCTGTTTGGAATAAGCACAAAAGGTAAGATTCACATTCAACTGTCTTTCATTTCATGTTTTTGCTGTTTTATCGGAATTCATTTTTGAGGAAACCACACTGAGGCATGCACAAAGACAGATGAAAGTGAATCTATATGACGCTAAATGTTAGCAATTCTGTTGATTAGTGACATAAATTCTGCAGCTTTCTTAAAAATGACCATTTTTCGTTTGATTGGTGAAATGAATAGATAAAGCTCATCATGCGGAATAACTTACCATCTGATACTACTTTTCTGATAACTGTTCCTCAGTGTCCAGTAGTTAGATAGTTTTTATTAGGAGTTTATTTCGGGAAATAAATTTGCCAGGCTTAAATGTGACATCACTTGTGTACAGAACTGGATGACGAATAACAGCAAAAATGGGATTTAGGGCAATGACTTCTTGAAGAATAACTCAAACCGAAAAGCGCATCATCATTTTCTGCCCCACCATATGAGCCCACCCACTTGATTTACTCTGCTTTTTATCATGATCAGTCGGATACGCATACTTGTACCCTGATGTAGATGAGTTCGTCAAGGATTTGCATGTTCTGCTGTTGACTTTATGGTTTTGCCCTTCAACCTTTCAAAAAGTACAAAACAGTCCCTAACTGTATCACTATGTCATGTCTTAAATAGGGCTGTTAAAAGGGAATTCGAGAAGTCAGCAGTGTTTTTAACGTGTGGTAAGTTTTTGCATAGAAAAAACTAATAAGATTGAATATACTGAGAACTTTTAGCATAACTGGTAGTTAGCATTTGCTTAATAGAGTGTAATAACTTGATCTAAAATGCATCTTTCAGTTTTAAATATTAAAAATTTGAAATAAGAAAGGTACATCTAAATGCAAGTTCAACTACTGCTGCTGAATGACCACTCAGTTATGATGTACAGGATAACGTCATGGGGTTTAGCGTTTGATCTTTAATGTGGTTCTATACAAGTACCAATTCGTTCACACCTGTAATTCATAGACATCGAAGTCAGAAATCATGCAACAATTTATCACTAGGGGCCTAACATAAGACAGCCAACATGTCTGTGTAGATAAGTGTTCACTGATTGAAATAGCACTGACATTTATATCAACACTCGTTAACTCATTCAGATGCGTCTACTTCATTTTATCAAAAAAATTAATTTAATTTTTGGATAGATGATAAAATATTCAGGTAGGCAATAATCAACAACAAATTATATTTATTTCTGGCCTCAGTATCCTCCTCCTAGCTTATTTAATGACCGCACCGGATATTAGTCAACATCTGCATTGCATCTTATCCAGTGATCAAATATCTATGATCTTTTAGGAATAGGAATTTGTTCAAGACATTTACACTTATTAATCATTGGTTTTTTGCATCCTAGTGTAAGAAAAGTCCTTTTTAATATGTGCCTTGTGATAATATTTGATTGGTACTTGTATTTGTTCATGAATAACAACCAATCATCATTCACACATACAACGCTTACGACATAAACCGAGTGAAGACAGTTTAAACAAATGATTCCTCTGCCTTAATTAGTTTCTTTGTTTAATGGATGCCTAAAAGTTACTTAAAACAAGAATTGATCTACAATAAAATACTATTTCTACACGAAAATGTCCTTTCAAAATGAAACAGATATGCAGTTTACCTTCACATTTTATTATTTCGTACGCTATCTGGGATACTGTGAAGATATTCCCGATCCGAATAAATATGGGAATCCACTAACCTTACCTGAAAAGTGGCAACAGATACCAATCATATGCTTGTCACTCGTCGCCTTTATTTTCAATGCCATATCGCTGTTTGTATTTCTTTTTGGTGAAATAACTGCAAATCTCATTTCCGCATCACAGGAGTCGAAGACACCTATATCAACACCAACACCAACAATAACAACAACAACACTAGTTCCAAAAAGAGGTAAACCAAAGAAATGTGGACGTTCTAGAAGTTCATTTCTAACCAGTCTAATAATTCTAAGCACATTTGAACTGATTTTCAATCTATCCCTCTTCATATTTAAGCTGAATGAAGTACTTTCACCATATTATATTCATCGAACACCAGTTAATCCAGCTTTACATATACCACCAGATATGACTATCGTTATAGTTCCAGTGGTGCAAAATATACTCATGTTCTTGTCGGACTTGGGTCTGATGTGTAGAAATTGGTGCATCTGTTTAATAACAGCTGCTCGTGCTGAAGTGGTGATATGGCCGCTAGGTTCCAGACGATGGCAACGTATTCTGCGTAATCCACAAAGATTTACAATCATATTTTCCATCTTTTTGGTCATTTCCATTTTGATTGCAGGTTTTAAACATGCAGATTTTATTGGTTTATTGTGTTATGACAAGAAAACTCAGAAATATGGATTGTGGTCTGAAGAATACATTTGGACGTCTGAAGCATTTTCCCGCTATATGTCATTTGTTGTGCAACCTTATCAAGCCTTTGTTACATGGCTTATAATTGTTGTATTTACAATTTTAATTCTGTTTAGATTGAAACCATGGAAAAAGGACGATGGCTCCATTTTGTTTCCTCCAAATTCAAAAACATTGGATGATATACCAAATATGCAACGAGAACAACAGCAACACTGTCCTGTTCAATATGATGCTTTAAAAAGACGTCAGCAAGGTCAAATGAGGGCGACACGAATCGTATTAGTTGTCTCCATATTATTTGGTTTATTAGAATGTATGAATTTTATCATATCAATATGCCAAACAGCAAAACTACTGACCAATCATCGTGTAAGTCGTTTATTGGAAACCATCGGTAACACACTGATTGTAACTGACTCGATATGTAATTTTCTAGTTTTCATCTCCATGATGTCGTACTTCCGTCAATTATTCGTGAAGATATTTTTCTGCAGAGTTTTGAACAGTGATATGACTTCACAAAAGACAACATCGTGCACTTCCATCAACCAGACATCTGCTGCAATTATCGACAATGCCCATAAATAAAATAGAAAACATCTATGGTAGATAGTTTTGTAAAAAGGACATGCACTGAATGTATACACATAAATTAAGAGCCAGATTTGACTGCTTCTCACCTATAATCCTGGTATTGATGAAAGCAATCCTTTTAAATATCTTAATACGTTTAATTTGCTATCTTCATCATTACTGTGTCCAAGCAAACATGTCTCCATAGCCATCTCAGTTTCACTGTTCCAGAGTTCATTTGATAAAGATAAGTACTAGCGTTGAAACGAAATTTCATCATTATCCATAATATTTGCATACCGTTTACGATAGTGTTAATTCTATATGCTTCTCAAATCCTATTGCTTTCGTATTAATATTGTCGTTGTTGTCTAATTCTGATACGTTCTGTCTTATCCTTCTCGTTTTATACATATATCAGCTAAAATATATAACGAAAATAAGATGGTGCTGATAATTTTTATGTTTTCATCCTTTCAGCGATTGTTTTATTAAAAGATAAAAGGACTAACTGATGACAAAGTAATTCAGAGTTTGTATCCTGAAATTCTTGCGACACCCTGATCTAGTTCAGATTATAATCTTACCAGAATCTTAATTTTTGTTTGTCTCACTAATACATCAGTTCTGAAAGATATACAGCTGTTAGGAAAGTGAAATTTTTATACAGAATTGATCAGGCCCACTGCTTTTAGTTAACATGCGTTAATGTTGGATTAGAATGAAGACTGTGAAAGGCATAATTGTTGATTTGTTTCCTGACATATTTTGAGAAAAGCTCTGTGAAACTACTCTGAGAAAATGCAGCTGATTTGTAACAAAGTTTTAAAAGTGGTTTGGAAGGCTTAACCCTACGACAACTCATTCGTACAGAAGAATGGCTTCTTTTGTGATGAGAATAAATTGAATATATTGATATCATATGGGAAGATATTTCAGAAAGGTAACAGAAGAGCACGTTAATCATTGTAAAGTAATTAGGAACAGATCAAATTTTCAGTTGTTTTTCACGCCAATCGATGATAAAAGCACACAGATTACTGCTAAAGTACAATAAAAATTTGTTTCGTAAAGTTTTCGACTAACATGAAGTTTACAAAATATTAAACTTTATTTACAAAATTTTCAAAGATACTTTTCCCCCACTAGACGATGTCAGTAATTTAGGTTGAATATATGATTTTTTTAAAGGATAGTTCCCAAAGCAGAATTATTGCTTAAGATATTTAAGGAATGGAATGTAAGTTTTAGTAACTTCTAATATATTTTAAGATGGAGAAAATTGTTTGTTTTCAAGTGAGCTGCAACTCATTACATTGATTACAGTTGGATCTCAGCTATGTGGCAAACTAAAGATGGATAACCATAGATCAGTCTAATAAGTGCATCTGCATTCAATACTCAGGACTTCATTATGCATTACAAAGTAACATGGGGTTAACGTAAAATTTTATTTGTCTACCTAATTAAGTGGATACAACTGTCTAGACCTCAATAAGTGAAATATATTCAAACTGCTAAACAGATATACTGAAGCCCGAAGGTTAAAACTTTATTAAACGTAAGTAAAATATCAGTCTGGCGAGAGGGTGGTGTACTTAGGTGAACACTAAAAACACAGTATCCTAGCATGAATATCAGGCTATTTTATCCATCTGATACAAAAAATAACATCGAGATTACAAGCGAAAAATCTAGAGGGCCAAGGGATAAGAATAAATATAAGTAATACATGCAGCTGCATCAAGGTTGTGCAAACACACAAACTCCCCAAATTAAATTATTTTATCTTCACGAGTTGTATTACGTTGATATACCAGTTCAACACTTTTATGAAGACTGATACTAAGGGCAGGGGAGATCAAAAGAATGCACTGTTTTAGATGACTGAAGCTATCATTAAAGCAAGATATCTTAAAGAACTTATTAATAAACAACAGTTTTCTTGATAATTCAGTTTGTTTGTTTCGAATCACCATCTAGTTACTGACCTAGTAACAGATTTTGAATCACCTCAACAAACAAACCTGGCCTTGAACCTTCTTCCAGATTCTCTTTCATATTCTTTTAGTCCAGTAGAAACTGTTTTTCAATCGATGAGGGATCTAAAGCTTCTAATCTACATTGAGAACTATTCTTCAAGTTTCAGTCATATCGTATCAGTTGAAGTACTCATTGTCTAAATTATTGTAAATTGCTTGTGCACTTCTAGAATCTTTAATAGCGAAATGTGCTCATGGGAAACATATATCCACCTATGATTTGAACAAGAAGTAATTAGGTGACTAATGACATAAGGTAAACACCGTGATTAAATTCCGTATATAGAATGAAAATCAGTCAGTCGAAAACAGACCACCATCATGTTTATGTATTCAACCATGTTAAGCCCTACTTCAAACTTTCCACAAAATGTTCATTTTCATGGAATTCTTTTTTTTCTACAGATATCTATGACTCATTTACTAGTAATATTTAACTTCAAATAACCCAGATTTTGATATGCTTCAATAAACACAATATTAACTACTACATTACTAGAAATACAGATTGAAAAAGCAGCAACATAAGAGAAACACAGGAAATAGACGGAAATATCCACGCCTTAATTATCATCAGATGGGTAGATTCAGAAAAAGTGCTAAAGAAATCACTTTCTAACATCATAAGAAGTAACACAGTGTTCCAAAAGTGGTCCTAGTAGTATCTAAAAACCTGAATCTGTGACAAGGAGATCACAATGACCTACCAAAGTATATCTTAACCCATTTGTCACTAATAAATTCAGCAGTAAGTTTCCAAAGCTGCATCTTAAGATGGTTTCTACAACAAACACACTAAGCGTTCCGTTTATCAAAGCTTGTCTAATGAGTTGTGACTGAAGAGCTAATTGTGACTTCAGCCAGTGCTATGCCACAGCACAAAGACTATCATAACCATAATAAAAATCTGGAGAAAATATCATCAATGCAGCTTGGGATAAGCTTACAGTATTTACTTTGAATAAAAATACACCTCTGACTCCTATTTTTCTTACAGGTTGCTGTTTAACATTATCTCAGAAGTCTTAAAAAGATGGAAATCTCCACCCATCTGTGTGCAATGACAGTGAATATCATAAGGCATAAAACTGTAAACTGTGAACTCGAATAGCAGTTATGAGCTAATTTTCTTGTTTATACTTTTTGACCCTCAGTTCACTTAAGAAAAATCAACAGCAGGAGTCACAACGAACTGCAATGTAGTTTACAACGTTCTTCAAGCAGAACAATGACTTTCCAAGTGAAAAATGCACACTATACATGTGAAATATTACTCAATGAGTGTTTTTATGCGAGTATTTTTCAAATTCATTTATCCTAATCGAAATATTGTAGTGCACTGAGATGTGTCACGAACCAAATAAAGTCAACCTTATTTCACAATATACGCAACAAGATCAGAAGGAAAAAGTACGGATGTACGAAGCAATTGTTGTAACACGTTTTGCAAAACTTGAATCTATAAACTCAATTTATACAGCTGTCGGCGTTCACAGGTAGGGGACATATGTGAGTTTAGTACTACTTAAACTATCTGAAATATGAAACTGTATCTTTCAACATACGGCCTCAACATAATTAGCCGAAATATCTGTGCCTTTAACACTAGCCACTAACATGCCACCCCTAGCGTGGACAGATGAGTAATATAGTCCCTACCTCCAGTGAAAAATAAATGTTTCCTGTCTGTAAGGGTGGGTTTGAAGCACGAATACCTGCTACCATATTACTTTCCTTCATTTATCCGCCTTTCTTTTAAGTCACTAATGCTTCATAGCGAGTATAATGGCGGAGTACTTAAGTTGCATTCAGCCTATTCTCTAGTCAGGGAAACTCGACCAACTGTATTTTTCGCTTATTATTTTAAGAATGTATTGCCACAGCTTCACATCAGTAGGACAATATTGTCTTAACAGTTATGAAAAACTGCCGTTTTCGATATCGTGCGAAATAGTATGAAGCTCTTCAACATTAGGTCAGACCTATCAAGCCCTTTCCTTTACTCTGATAATTAATGGCAAGTGGGTACTTGTGAAGTTATAAAAACCGCTTCTAAGGATCTCACTGAATATTCACATAAGTGGATATGTATGACAACCGGATAGATTACTACAATGCCGATAATTGTTCTCTTTTTTTCGATGATAACTGACACTGATATCCTCTCATTTTGTATTCATTATATACTTAATAACTAATTGTTTGGTGCCTATGAATTTTAGATGTTGAGTTGTCATGCTTTGAATCCTGTTTGGCATAATAAAGACTTCGTCAAATTTTTGTTTTTCTCCAGTGAATTTGGGTCAACAGGTTCTAATAGGGATTAGGTGTACAATTCTGATGCTCTAGTCTTACAGAGTATAATCCATTTAATAAACAAAAAGACTCAGTTATCAATCTCTCCCTCCACCCTGGTGCGTTAATTCTGAGGATTTTCACCCTGTGCCTTCCTACTGTGTAGTTGCGTGTAATTGGAAGCATAGCTATGGCTAAAAGTTTTTCTAAATTCCTCACCTTACTAGGATCTAGTAATTTTGATCTAGCTGGGTTTTTGTGTTAAGATAGCCTACTTTATCCTGGTTGACTACTTTGACTTATGCATTTGACCTCACGCTCGTTGCAGGGGACTTGGTAAACTAAGTTATTCTGCTTTGGATCAGTAGGATCTCCCAACCTACAAAGTTCAGTTCTAACTGGGTTTATGGACTTAAATGACACTCTAATCCCAGCTTTATTGAGAATCTTACGTAGTGTTCCTGAGGTGCCTTCTTTGTATCTTAATACTGTAGATGTTTTGAATTATCTTTTCACGGTATTGCCACTACTATTTTTAAAATTATTTTTACTACTATTAACACCAGTGTTACTAATATTTTTCTAGAAATTCCGAAGAAACTTATCAACTGATTGGGAAGTGTAATTGTTGGTGAGTGAGATGTCTTTGATGTATCCGGTTTCTTGTCATGGATCTTTTGTTTTGCTGGTAAGTTTTTTGGCCCTGTTACTTAGAAACTTTACTAACCCAGCTTTGACTGACATAGGTTGAGGCAACGTGAAGTCTAAGGACTGACGTGAATGTGAAGGTTTTCTGTAGCCACTAGTGTCTAAACTCCTATATGGTTCCATTTTGTTCTGCAATTCATTTAGGCTAAATCTTTTTTATCCGATAATCCCATACTTTATTCTAAAATTTACTCACTGTTCAACACACAGCCATGACTTCGGGCGACTTATATAACAATGACTATAACAATGCTTCAAAGGTATTATATTTAATGGCTTAGTGTAAACTTTCATTCTTTACACAATTCAGTAATCTGTTTATTCAAACTAAACCTGTTTACTTTGATGCGAATGTACTATTCAGCTGTAGTTCCAAAAGTCAGGTTTCCATTTTCTGAACAGGCTATAAGGCACTTTTTACTAACCTTGAAGCGCGTATGTTTAAATTATTTCTTACCGTATGCAGAATCCAGAGACAACAGGGTTAATGGCCAGCTTTTGAAAATCAAGGTTGATGGGTTTGTCAATAACAGTTGCTTTAACAAAATTCTTTCTCCCCACCTTAAATGACTGTTACACCTACAAAAGTTTTCTTTCATTTATGAAGACGTTAAAATGTGCAAACATCTTCAAATAACACAGTGAACTGTATTGTCTAATTACATGTGACAACAGATTGAAAGTCATTCCCCACTGAAAATAACACGTGACATTCCTGCAACACTGTGCATTTTGAGGAAATACTTTATTTCCTAAATTGTCCAAAAAGATCGTTCACTGTTTCATTGCCTAAGTAAAAGTTTCTAAACTGAATTCACCAAACTATATAGCTAAATATGGTTCTTTTAACATGTGTTACTTTATATTCGGAAATTTATGACTTTTATTAGTGGGAATTTTAAATGATGCATATGAATTTAGCCATTAGAGTCTAGTGCATAGAAACTTCGATGTCTATTCGCTGAGAACGTCAACATAATAGAAATATGGTTTTAT